TTGCTGAAGACACCTTTCTATCACATACAACCTGTAGAACTATCCTGTTGCTGAAGGCACCTTTCTATCATAACAACCTGTAGAGATATCCTGTTGCTGCAGACACCTTTCTATCACATACAACCTGTAGAACTAACCTGTTGCCGATGACACCTTTCTATCACATACAACCTGTACAACTAACCTGTTGATGAAGACACCTTTTTATCACATACAACCTGTAGAATTATCCTATTGCTGAAGACACCTTTCTATCACATACAACCTGTCGAACTAACCTGTTGCTGAAGACACCTTTCTATCACATTCAACCTGTAGCACTATCCTGTCGCTGAAGACCCCTTTCTATCACATACAACCTGTACAACTAACCTGTTGATGAAGACACCTTTTTATCACATACAACCTGTAGAATTATCCTATTGCTGAAGACACCTTTCTATCACATACAACCTGTAAAACTATCCTGTGGATGAAGACACCTTTCTATCACATACAACCTGTCGAACTAACCTGTTGCTGAAGACACCTTTCTATCACATTCAACCTGTAGCACTATCCTGTCGCTGAAGACCCCTTTCTATCACATACAACCTGTAGAACTAGCCTGTCGCTGAAGACACCTTTCTATCACATACAACCTGTCGAACTAACCTGTTGCTGAAGACACCTTTCTATCACATACAATCTGTAGAACTAACCTGTTGCTGAAGACACCTTTCTATCACATTCAACCTGTAGCACTATCCTGTCGCTGAAGACCCCTTTCTATCACATACAACCTGTAGAACTAACCTGTTGCAGAAGGCACCTTTCTATCATAACAACCTGTAGAGATATCCTGTTGCTGCAGACACCTTTCTATCACATACAACCTGTCGAACTAACCTGTTGCTGAAGACACCTTTCTATCACATACAATCTGTAGAACTAACCTGTTGCTGAAGACACCATTCTATCACATACAACCTGTAGAACTAACCTGTTGTTTTAGACACCTTTCTATCACATACAACCTGTACCACTAACCTGTTGATGAAGACACCTTTTTATCACATACAACCTGTAGAATTATCCTATTGCTGAAGACACCTTTCTATCACATACAATCTGTAGAACTAACCTGTTGCTGAAGACACCATTCTATCACATACAACCTGTAGAACTAACCTGTTGCAGAAGGCACCTTTCTATCATAACAACCTGTAGAGATATCCTGTTGCTGCAGACACCTTTCTATCACATACAACCTGTCGAACTAACCTGTTGCTGAAGACACCTTTCTATCACATACAACCTGTCGAACTAACCTGTTGCTGAAGACACCTTTCTATCACATTCAACCTGTAGCACTATCCTGTCGCTGAAGACCCCTTTCTATCACATACAACCTGTAGACCTAACCTGTTGCTGAAGACACCTTTCTATCACATACAACCTGTACAACTAACCTGTTGATGAAGACACCTTTCTATCACATACAACCTGTCGAACTAACCTGTTGCTGAAGACACCTTTCTATCACATACAACCTGTAGATTTAACCTGTTGATGAAGACACTTTTCTATCACATACAACCTGTAGAACTTACCTACCTATAAAGATACCTTTCAATCACAAACAACCTTCAGATGTAAATAATATGTTACACTTTTACAACAATATGAAGAAAGAAATACATACACCACACTTATCCTTTACAAAACCTATGAATGAATGCACTTGTCAAACATTTACATTCTGTATGATTGGACCCATTAACAAAAAGTACATGTTCCTGTTTTATTTTAGAATATCTTACAAGGGTGATAAAATGTCGGGGGAATGGGGTAGACAAAAGTTCGTGCTCACGCATGGCCTGTTGACAAATAATACATTGTTAATAACCAAGGAAAAGTGTCGTTACTTTGAAAACGATGTAGAATTTTGAAATTAAACAGGTTGTTATTGATAAAATGTCATGTAGCATTAATACAGGCGTGGTGTTTTAACCATCTGTCGTGAAGCTGCCCTTAAAGCCTTATATTACTATAATTTCAATGATCATTGAACAGTATTCATTTTTGTTAAAAAATATAAAATATGTAGTTTAAGATAACTGATAATAACACATTACTGTTTAATACAATTAATTAAATTTTGATAATGGAAATACATTTTGTGCGTTTTGTTGCCATGCTATACCCTCCAGCGGAAGGTTTCACAATTTCTCACAGAATACTCTGTTCTTACTACTGCATTGCCGATGTATATATATAAGGCGTTGGATTTCTAGATATGTTTGCCATGAATCGCGTTGATTTAATATTTTCTGTGAATAGAGATGTGGTACATACCCAGTACATTCAGCCTTTTTAATAACTTGCTGATGCGGATAAACAACCCAGCACAAGGTCAGCCCATTGTTTTTGAAGTATCCAAGAATTTGTTTACGCTCGGTAGGGCATAGAGGAGTTCCTCTGGAATTCAAAAGTAAATCGTTTTGACATATAGCCTTGAATACAATAGAGTTTGTCACCTGTACTGATAAAACCTGTTACTCGTAATTTTAACATTTAATGAGCATATGTAAACGGCAGTAGAATATAGCAGAAATTTCAAATACTCATTTATACTCCATGCGATGAAATTCAATCAAAATCATCGTAATGCATCATTAAATCATCAATCTTGTTTTGAAATACATTAAATACTTATTGCAACATTTGTTTGCAGCAACATATAATCTTTGCAGTAGGATATTATCGAAAATGGGGTACAATGGCCATTTTTGCGCATTAACAAAAACTTAGAATTGAGATTTGTCAACTTTATGATGGACAGAATTTTGTGAACTCTCTGGACTTAATAGTCCTATTGGGATATCAATTATACAAATGTAGATATATGTTTTCGTCAATTCCCGATATTTGTAGCAAAGGTATGTTCATAGTTATAGTTCTATTGCTTCGAGTAGATGGAATGTGAAATGAAACCAACTCTTCATCTCTAATGAAATCAATTTGACTGAAATCAGTTGAGGTCCAAGCAGCACACCACAATTACATGAAAAAGTAAGTTTCATCCATACGACAAAATGGTGTCGTCTTGTAGTATGCTTGCAAAGGCGTGTATTTAAAACCTTTAATTCTTTACGTAATTATTCGTTTTTGCAATAGATTATCTTAAAATGAATTTTTAATTATTGCACAATAAACATTACACTCAAAACCGCTCTGCATGTTGTAACCAAATCAAGAAGTGCGTCCAAAAGTGTTTAAGTCGCCCACGCGTTCAGTTCATCAAACTTCTATACGCAAGACACGGTGTTGATGTTGCGCCATTATGTTTACATCATCGGGAATTTATTTCACATGCAGCAATTTCATGTACTAAATAAATAAACCAATTGCACTAGTTTCAGGTGCATTTAAAAAAAATGTCTGTATAACATGTGATACACTTACGATTCTTCAGGTGGCTCAGTGTTGTGTGGAAAGGAGTATACAAATGTGTATGCATTCCAGTGATTCCATAAATTGTCACTCAGACGTTGCCTGTAATATTTAAACATGTTTTGTATATAAACGTTTCTATAAAGGTTAATTAACTCGTAATTACAATTTGAACATAACATCACTGCTGGATATATGCTATTTAATCAACTTTCTTTTACAAGTCAAGTTTCCACTGTAAACTAGTGATTTGATACTGCTTATTTCAGTTTTAAATGTATTTAAAACAATTTGAACAAATAAGAGAAAGAAAATGTACTTACAAGAAATATTGGAAATCTGCACTTCGTATGGGTTCACATACATAATCATCCTCTTCTATTTCAGTTGTTTCAGTAAAGATACAACCACAGGTTCCGTTATTACCATCACATGCCCATGTGTCCAACACCAGCAGTAGGAGGACTCCGACACATACCTAGTCACGAGTTATAGGATTTAATAAAGCATTATTTATTTTACCAGTGAAAATCAAATTTTTTGTTATAACGACCAAAACCGATAGCTTCATGTGACTGATCGTTGAAGTGTATTCTTTTATCATTCTACGAGTATTCTATTATTATGCATCATTGCAAATAATTATATCAATAAAATTCATGTAAACGTGAAATAATATTGTAATGATTGACGTTTTCAATAGCTAATGCAGGCAAAACATGTTGTATCCTTAACAAATGACATGCGATCATGATTGATAAAGTAAAATCATACGTGAATCAAGCCCATTGTTGACAGGAGTATTGACGTGTGCAGTTCCTGCACACGATATATCAATTTATAGATTGGTGAAAGTTACTTTTCCTCCAATGGGCGGGTTACACATATCTGTAATTATAAATGCATTTCTTAAAGTAAATAAATTACTATGCAACATAAACTCCTTCCGGTCTTGTGGCCATAAAAGCAAACTAAATTTAGTAAAAATAACAATCAACAGTATGGAAATAACGCCATGGGAACAACTAAGAGGAGCTGTTTTACGATAACAGGCAACTACACGTACTTGGGACTTTTCTTAATAAATAAGCAAGACAAATTTAATACATTAAGACAAACAAAGTCACGTAAAAGCATGCTTCGTTTTTAATGACAAAAGCTGATGTTGCTTATTTTAGTTGACTACAAAGTGCAACGAAATTGGAAATAATTCGTTCAAGGCTAATTATTACTTAAAACCTGCATGGTTACTTATGTAACGCGAATTTCACGCTATGAAAGTCGATTATTTTTCCACTCGCCATTTGCAAAACCGAACACTGTGGAAACAATTAGCGTTTTGTACGTGAAGTCTATACTGAGCTAAATACATTAATTACTGAAACACGTTCATCGTAATCATTTGTCATTTTTTACATTAATTACGAGTGGTGTAACTTATTTAGCTAATCCATGACTTAACATTTCATGAAAAGATATCTGAAGCAATAAGGTACGATCTAAACAACTCTTATCAACATTACTGCTAAAAAAACCACTTTNAAATGAGGTACGATGTAAATAACTCTTATCAGCATTACTACTTTTTTGTTTGGACTGCCGTATGTCAACTAACAGGAGAGCCATCCTAATACTGAGGTAATATAATATTAATCTGTTTTTATTGGGAATCAACACGTGATTAAGCTTCACACTAGCTGACGCACAATCTGACATGATATACGCTTCGGTTAATCTTGTATCATAAATGTGAGGCATTCCATTATCAGACTTTAGTTGATGCCAAACAAATGTAAAACTGTAGCCTATCTGAAGGGCGATAGTTTTGTACTTGCAGGGGAAATTTCAATACTGCATGATAATTAGCACAATTAAAAACAGAAATAGAAAAGAGAAATGCGTTAGAACTATATCGGACATGCGTACAGTTCATCAAAGGTCCCCACGACAGATATGGTGTTGATATTGCGCTATGATATGTTCCGTTGATGGCTCATTGCTGTCTGGTTAGGATTATATGGATGTGTATTAACTCCAGTGATAACCAGTTAGTTTAAATCTGTCTCATTAAGCTACAGTTTCCATTGATGAACCACTTACCATTATGTATAATGGTCAAAGTTATTACATATATTATACTTTTATACTGTATGTATTACAATCATATCTATTTATATATGTATGTTTATACATTTCCTTCTAAATATGGAACAGTAATGTATGAATGTATGTATGTATGTATGTATGTATGTATGTATGTATGTATGTATGTATGTATGTATGTACGTTGTTTTGTTTTTATTATCGTTATACGAAATATGTACGGTACTTAGTTGATAGAGTTTATCTTTCTAAATAATGTATAATGTATATATGTTAGAATGATATTCATACCAAGATCGTCGCAAGGTCAAAATAACATAGGGTTTAAAACAAGAAAAGACAGGCAGTCTTTATTTTTTGTACAAGTGGCTAAAGCTATACAAAATTGCATCTAAAATGACTAAGTCTATAAAAGATATATCGTTCAATATTAAAACATTTTCCGCATGTGAATTTGCTCATACATTCTGTGCAAACATGCTTTTTCCGAAATTACATTTCTTACAATTCTTTTGCAAAATATGAACATTTTTTTTAATTTTTTTTAACATTTTTTAATATGATAGGGACATGTAATGCTTATGTTTATTGTGATGAATTCTTTTTATGTTTATATGACAGATGAAAAATGGTAGTGAGTAAGATAAGAAGAGTAAGAAGAATGAAATTAAAAAGAGATTGTAATTGATAACAAAGGAGATGAACAGGACACACATGGTGGTAGGAACTCAAAGGGAATAGAGCGTGTGGAAATATCTGTGTGAAGGGTCGGAGGACAATGGTGTGTGGATATAAGGTTCATTTATTATAATGCATTGATAAGTTAATCGTGGTCCTTAGACAGGGAAATGGTCAGCAAAATACTTCTAAAAGAGAAATGCAGCCCCGCTGTGTTAGATTGTCATTATAATAGGTAGAGATCTAAGGTTGAGAGAGTAGAAAGGAGAGAGATGAAGGAGAGAGTCCAAGGACAGAGTCAGATTTAGACAGATATAGAAGTACAGAGAGATATTGGGGTGCGAGACTGAAGAGAACTAAATGAGAAAGAATGGAGTTGGAAACAGAAGTGAATGGATTGAACAATTAAGTTTCCATGTATAAGCTATGAAGTTGGACTAAAATAAGGGAAGTGGAGCTGACATAATGTGTCATCATTGTAACTTAAATTCCCAAGTTACCTAGGGACCCTAGTGATAACAAACGGACCGGTGATATGTGGTGGAGAATCCGGGTACCAGGGTTGTAATATCTACACCCTGGTAAGAAAAGAAAAAAAGAAGAAAGGAAAATGGCAGCAAAGGACAGTATTACTATACCTGAGAAGATTGATGGACAATGTTGTGCAAAGATATGGCTTTAAAAATTTGAAAAAGTGAGCAGAATTAGAAAATGGAAAGATGAGGAAAAGGCTCTTCAGTTTTCACTTCTGCTAAAAGGAAAAGCAGAGCAATGACTTATGCACACTAGGAAGATGTGCAGGAAAATCTGGAGCTGCTGTTAAGGAAGTTTACAGAGAGATGTTTCCCCAGTGAGCTTGATAGGACAACTCTTAACAAAATGGCAGGGAAAAAGTCATGGGAAAAGGTTAATCACAGTCAAAAGGGGTACGCGCCTGTCTTTAAAGTTAAAAACATCATGACAATAAGCATAATGACAATAAGCATAATGACAATAAGCAGAATGACAATAAGCAGAATTGCAATAAGGAAAAAGGTAAAACAACTGAAAAGGACAGCACAGCAAGGGATTTCCTGCTTCAATAGAAAGGTGTTTGAAGCAGGAAATCTAGGAGAAAAGTTTTCAGTAGAGAGTTTAGATTTAAAATGGTTGTATAGTGCTGATGGTAGTGACATAGGAATCAAAGGAAAGGTGACACTCCCCTTTTCAATAGGACGTCTGGATATGATACAAACATTTCAGGTGGTAGAAAGTCGGAGTTTTCCAGTCATTCTATATACAGACTTCTTGAAACAAATCATTAGGCAAAGATAGACTGCGGGAATAGTAGCTTAGAGTAAGAGGGAGGTATAGCCATGGTTGTTTGTATACAGGCAAAAGCTAGGGAAAGGACAAGCTCAGCCAGTCTGGTTTGTAATATACAAATAGCCCCTAAGTCAATGGTAATCGTTCCAGTCGAAATAAAAAGTAAGAAAAAAGGGCTTAAGTTGTTAGGGCAAATCTCCAGCCTCTTATCTAAGCATAGTGTAATGGGGCCCCGAGTGTGTCAGAAGTTAAAAACAACAAAACTGTATATCAGTCCAGAGCCTAGACCTACAAACCCCCCTCCCCAGACACATGGTGCTGAGACTTACCAAAATCCAGAACTAATTGAGGAAATAGAGGAGCAGGGCAGGATATCCCAGGCTAAAGAATGACTCCAGCCCAGAGCCCACAAATGATACCAATACACCCACAGAGGAGAAATAGGAGTGGCTCACAGTAGATAGGATTCTGTGTTGCAAGCCTAACAAGGGTGTGAAATGGTATAGAGTAAAAGGAAGACTTCATGGAATAAGGAAGAAATACTTCCAGAACATTTGATTAGAGAGTACCACATAAATAGAACTATCCAGAGTCGTAGTAAAAAAAAAAGAAAAAAAAAAAAGGAAGGATAGGCCAGTAGTGTAAAAACAAAAAACAGAAAAATCAGTTCCCTTCCAAATCTATGTAAATTAACTTAGTAAACTGTAGCTAGTAATTGATCATGATTAGTTAACACTTGCAATATGCAGTCCACATGTAGGTATTACATATTATGTATTTGAAGAGCTTCTTGTTAGACTCCGGGCATTTTCTTTACTGAATGGGCTTTGTAAGCTAAATTTTTAGTAGAAATCTTTACGTTTCTAAGTCTAAAGATAGAAATTCAAATTGTGCACACTATTAGGAACTTTGGTTGTTAATTTTTTACTTTTGAAGTATGAAAAACTTTAAGGTTAAGAATGAATGACAGATATCGAGATGATAACAATATTATTACCGGTTATACATGTTAAAGAGTTACATGGTATGAGTCTATTGACAAAGACTGAGAAAAGAAAATGTATTACAGTTATTGTTTCATGGGTGGTTGAAGTCTTTGAGTAGGGAAAGAAAGAGATCTCAGAACTGCTAGATATAGAACCTAACCAGTCTTGTAGGTGTAATTGACACAGACTGGCATGAAATTCATTTTTCATTAGGTGATAATCAAGAGCCTCTGTATTTAGAGGAGGTCAGGTTAATATCAGACAATATTTTGACTAATCAGTGAAATCGTGGTCCTTAGACAGGGAAATGGTCAGCAAAAGACTTCTTAAAGAGAAATGTAGGCCCGCCTCCAAGGGATGAAATAAGCCAATAGAATTAGAATATTTAGTTAAGTAGAAGTAGTGTTAGATTGTCTTTATAATAGGTAGAGATCTAAGGTTGAGAGAGTAGAAAGGAGAGAGCTGAAGGAGAGAGTCCAAGGACAGAGTCAGATTTAGACAGAGATAGAACTACAGAGAGATCTTGGGAGGCGAGACTGAAGAGAACTAAATGAGAAAGAATGGAGTTAGAAACAGAAGGGAATGGATTGAACAATTAAGTTTCTATGTATAAGTTATGAAGTTGGACTAAAATAAATGAAGTGGAACTGACATAAAGTGTCATCTTTGTAACTTAAATTCCCAAGTTACCTAGGGTCCCAAGTGATAACAATCGGACCGGTGATATTTATATCAAAATATTTCTGTTTCACCTAAAGACCATTCTCTTGCATATCGTGTATACGCTAAAGGTATTACCTGATGTCATTGG